TGATCTCTGGCGGGAGGGGGATGGGGGTAATGCATCCATCCTTGCTCTTCTTGACCTCTCAGTGGCTTTCGATACCATCGACCATGGTATCCTTTTGGGATGGCTGCGGGAGTTAGGGCTGGGTGGCACAGGTTTGTCCTGGTTCAGCTCCTTCCTCCAAGGCTGATCTCAATCAGTGTTGATAGGGAGTGAAAGGTCCAGCCTGCGGCCCCTACTTTGTGGGGCATCTCAGGGTTCGGTGCTCTCGCCGTTCCTATTTAACATCTACACGAAACCGTTGAGTGAGATCATCCGGCACCATGGGATGAGGTATCACCAGTATGGTGATGATACTCGACTCTATATCTCCATCCCTGGCGACCTAAGTGATGCTGTGACCACCCTTTCGAGGTGCCTGGAGGCTGTAGGGGCCTGGATGAGGGACAACAGGGTTCAACTGAAGCTTGGTAAGACGGAGTGGCTGTGGGTACAGGGAGCCTCAAGATCTAGGAGTTTATCATCTTTGGTTCTTGACGGGGTTGCACTACCCAGACAGACCCGGTGCGTAATCTGGGGGTCCTCCTAGACTCACGATTCCTGTTAGAAGAGATGGCAGTCGTGGCCTTTGCGCAAGTTCGTGTTGTGCGTCAGTTGCGCCCCGTCCTGGATCAGGAGGCTCTCCAAACGATCGCTCATGCCCTGGTCACCTCCCAGTTGGATTACTGGAATGCACTCTACATGGGGCTACTCTTGAAGAGTATCCGGAAGCTACAGCTGGCACAAGATGCAGCAGCGCGGACAGTTCTGAATGCCCCCAGGGGGCCCATATAACACCGCTGTTACGCAAGCTGCATTGGTTGCCGGTTTGCTTCCGGGTCCAATTCAAGGTGTTGGTTATTACCTTTAAAGCCCTTCATGGCATGGGGCTGGGTGATCCGAGGAGCCGTCTCGCCCCTGTTCCATCAGCCCCCCCCACTCGGTCCGGCAGAAGGGGCATGTTGCAAACCCCACCTGTCAAGGAATTTCAACTGGCGGGGTCTAGGAAGAGGGCCTTTTCTGCCGTGGCCCCCGCTCTGTGGAACAATTTACCACCCGAGGTGCAGTGCGCCCCCACTCTCATGGCCTTCAGGAAGGCTATGCCAGATGGCCTGGGAGCCTGATGGGGGCTCGCATCGTTGGAATTGGCTCATGGGATTTTACTCCCTCCCGTCATCTTGAATTTTATAGTCTTTTTATGTATATAGTATTTTTATATAGTCTGATTTTTTAGTTAATTTAATGTGGATATTTATATTTTTAACTGTTTTTGA